GAAAAGGGTCAGCACTTGGATTTGAATCTGGGAGCCCTCAGCCTCTGTGTTCCTTTGCTGCTAGTAATTATCAGTGAAACTCACTGGCAAAGCATGTCTCATCTCCTGCTGTAGTGATTGGGCCACAAAGCAGTTAACAGACTAGTATTGCTGCCTTGCATGCCACTGGTTCAGGTGCTAATTGCTTAATTGGGGATCACTGTGGTTTCATGTGATGGAGATTGTTTGGTTTTTTTTTTTTTAATTAGGAAATGACATTAAAAACCTTTTAAAAATGTTAAGATTGAAAAATCAAGTAGCCAAAGGTTAGAAAATGCCAGAATGAAGTTTCCCTTTTGCAAAAGGATTATCTTTAAATATATGATAATATATGTGTATGATCACATATTATTTTTCTCAGGGGACCTCTACCTCATGTAGTGCAGAGGATGGATAATATTCGGGGAGTCAGGATATGTAGTGAATGATGCTGTTTGATAGGATCCTGCTTTATTTGATGAGCTGGAAGGCTTATTTGTTGAAGTTGGAAGGTGTGTAGTGAATGAGGTAGGGGACTGTAGGAAGAAAACGGATGGTCTGTGCTTTAACTATATAAACTGCTGTAAAATGCTTGGTACTCTGAAAAAGCAGGCCTTCAAGTTCGCAGTTTGGAAATCCAAAATTAGGGGATCCTTTTGACAATTTTCATTGCATGTCTCTGGCTTTAATTGTTCATCTGTGTAAAAAAAATAAAAATTAAAAAAGGGGGGGTTAATATTACTATATTACTACTCATTCACAAAGAAGTACTATGAAGTAGGGCTGTGCAAAGGTTCAGTAGCTGACTAGATTCAGAGGAGATTTGGCCTGATTCGGGGACCAAATCTGCAAATCCGAATCAAATCAGGAGACCAGTTAAAAGCTCTGAATTGATTCGGATGCTTTGAATCGATTCGGAAAAGATTCAGCCACTTCAGAGATTCAGCCATAGATTAAACAGGCAGCTGATACAGCTGCCTCCAGTTGGTAAGTCTGTTGGGGTTGGAGGACAGGAGAGGGAAGGGGCATGGGGGAGGGAGGTATTGGGACTGGGACAAGTTGCCCAGCTGGGGCGGGGGCATGTTACTTGGGGAGGGGGGTGGGATGCAGGCGTGGCAGCACTGGGAACAAGGGCTCTGCCCTGCTGCTACTTGCCCAGCCAGGGCAGGTGGGGGGAGTCAGGATGCGGGTACAGCTTGCTCCAAGCAGAAGGGAACAAATGACAGCATAGCATAGCCTGCTCTCCCAGCGTTGCCTTGCCCATATCCCATGCTCCACCATGCCAGTTGGCAACTGGTGGCAGGGCTGGAGAGCGGGGGCTGTGATGCAGGTGCGGGAGCACTGGGAGAGCGGGCTATGCCATGCTGCCACCTGGAGCAAGCCGCACCTGTATCGCATTCCCCCCTGCCGTACTGGCTGGGCAGGCAGCAGCAAGGCAGAACCCCTGCAGTTCCCCCTGCCAGGGCAGAGGCAGGCACAGCCAGGGGAGACACAGGAGAAGTCCCCATGGCTTCCCTGCCCAGCCCCATCCCCTGCCTGGCCCAGACTCCTGGTACTTTAAAAAAAAAAAGCCCCACACTCACTGGCTTTGGCAGCAGTCATTAAGGGCCTCTGAGGGCTCATGACAGAGTCCCCCTGCACAGCATGGGACAGTGGGAAACAGCAAGGATTGCTCCCCCCCACTTGGCACCTGCATGGCAGCTGCCCTGTGTTGTGGGTGCAGTGCAGCTCAGCACACTGTATGAGAGATGGGGTGGCTCCATCTGACACCCAGAGCCCAGCATTGCATAGCCCCAGCTCCCAGACAGTGCTCAGCGCCCTGCCAAGCCATGCTGCACTTGTGCAGTGTGACAGCTTCTGCATGCCAAGTGGCAGGGGGGGCAGGTGATCCCTGCTGCCCCCCCTGCCCTGCACTGCATGGGGGGGGGGGGGCTCTGCCACAAGTGCCCAGAGGCCCCAATCACTGCTGCTGCAGCTGGTGAGTGTGGAGTTTAAACAAATAAATAAAAAAAGCCATGCATTCACTGGCTGTAGCAGGGGCTGTGGAGGATCTGAGCTCACATGGCAGAGCCCCCCAAACAGCCCCCACTCCCTGATCAGTCGCTTGCCCAGCCCAGCCCAGCCCCTGCTGGCCCCCCTGCTTGGCCCCAGACTCCTGTCACTTTTTAAAAAAAAAAGCCCCTCACCTCACCAGCTGCCGCAGCAGCAATTGGGGCCTCTGAGGGCTCATGGCACAGCTCCTCCATGCAGTGTGGCGCAGTGGGGGGCAGCGGGGATCACCCCCCTGCTTGGTACTCACACAGCAGGTATCACATTTCACAGGTGCAGCGCAGCACAATAGGGTACCACGTGCTGCTTGGGAGCTAGAGAGGCTCCAGCAGTCAGCTGGAGCCCAGCATTGCTCATCCCCAGTAGTCTCAGCTCCCAGACAGCATGTAGTGCCCTGCCAAGCAGCGCTGCACCCATGCCATGGGGCAGCTGCCACGCAGGTGCCAGGTGTGGGGGGGAGGGGTGATCTGCGCTGCCCCCAACTGCCCCTTGCTGCATGGGGGGGCTCTGTCATGAGTGCCCAGAGTCCCCAGTCGCTGCTGCTGCAACTGGTGAGTGAGGGGCTTTTTTTTTTTAAGTGCTGGGACTATGCTGGGGCTGAGCAGACGATGAGGCTGGGCAGGGCAGTCATGGGGGCTTCTCCTGCTGCTCCCCCTGCTTGGGGAAAGGCAGGCACAGCCAGAGGAGCTGTGGGAGAACCTGCAGCCTTCCAGCTGTGCCTGCCTCTCCCCACCCAGTCTGAATCACCAAATCTGTCTGAATCAGCAGCGAATCTTCTGAGCCGATTCGGCCGAATTGATTCAGGACAGTGATCTGAATCTCCTAATCGAATCACAGTTCTCCAGATTGGCCAGATCTGAATCTGAATCAAATACTTCCCTATTTGCACAGGCCTACTGTGAAGAGGATTTGTTTAATATTTGTGAAGAACTTAGATACCACAGCAGCATACAAGAGGAAATTAAAGTCTTGTCTTCAGGGTGGGGTTTCATGGTGTATGTTAAGAACACGGCAGCCAGACTTTAATTTGATGAAAATCTCAAGTTTTGGCTGGGCAGCAGTTTCTGGGGATTCCAGACCAGGAGGAAGTTGATTAATTTTTCATCAGCTTTTATAGCTTTGCTGGGGGAAAGTCATGAATTCTGAATGAGGCCAGAGTCATGTGTTAAAAATAGTAGGTGATCGTAAAATTAAAGACTATAACATAATACATGGGCAAAAGGGGTCTGAATTAAGGTGATTCATTCTGGACTTTTTTTAACTTTTCAGGGCTCAATTTTGCAACCTTCTAAAGTTATTTTTGCCCATACAGAGATAGCTTTTTGTGATTACACCATTGTAAACAATTCTGTTCATCATCACTGTATTTTATTTTAACAGATCATTTCTGACCCTAGAGTTCGTATTGAGCTAGCTCTTCGAGAAGCTGAACTTCATAACACGCTTTATGCGAAAGAGATTTTGCCAAAAATTCCTCCATTGAAGCTTCCAAGAAGGGATATGGAATCTACAGTCTTCAAAATTTAAAATACAGCACATACCAACGATTTGTGTTTAATGTAGTCTATAATATGAAAACTTTTAATAAACTTCTTACATCTAGGATACTTCATAGAACTATTTACTCCTTAGTTTGTGCAGTCATTTAAAAAAAAAGCCAGTCTGCATTTGCTTTGCAGTGCTCAGTAGACCATTTAACACTCCCCCACAGTGATGAATAAAGCTTCATAATGTCATATTCTTGAAGAACACAATTTACTGAAACTGTAATGTAATTATCTGGAGCCAGATCAAACCCCCGTCTTAAATGCCCAGGACAAGTATTTGTGCATAGAATCTTTGTTGGATTCCCACATAGCATCATATCAAGGATGGGCTTTGCCCCTCTGAGTATCCTGGGTCTAGTCCACCATCAAATCTGATGAATCTTGGGGGATTCCTGGAGGACAGAGGCTAGCAGCATGGCCTGTGTGTGGCCTCTCTCTGTTTTTGGTCTTTGGTAGATTTGCAGCCCACAAGCTTGGCAGTTCTTTTGGAACTTTAGGGTTACCATACGTCTGGGTTTTCCTGGACATGTCCTCTTTTTGGGTCCTCCAATCTCTGTCTGGGCAGTTTTTTGAAATCTGAACAAATGTCTGGGATTTTGTTCTGCTCCACTGGTGGGAGTGGGGCAAGGGTGATTGGTGGCAGGAGACACCATGTGCATCTCTGTGTGCACACGTGTCTGGCATACAGCCAGGCAGGGAGTGGGACCAGCCTTGCCAGCTGGATGCAGGTAAGTGTATGGGGAGTGGGGATTGGAGGGCCAGGGTTTGGGGACTG